TCCTTTAAATGGTCCCTATTTGGTGTGGAAAATTTCGGGTCCTCTTCAGATTGGGACGACTGCGCCTTCTCAAGACGTTCAATCTTTTCTTTCAATCTTCTATTCTCTTCCATCATTTCTTCTATCCCCTTTTGCAATTCTCTTGAACCCCTACCGCTGGTGTGTACGTGTAATTACACATATTGCGAACCCACCCCAACAGTTTCTTGCATCCTACCTTCATCTTGTTCAAGAAAAAGTGGTATTGAAAGGGGGGGTGGACTGGCTGGCTGGTGGAATCCCATGTGACCACCTGGATACAGCCAAGGAGCTTGATTGAAAAGATCTTGAAAAGTGGTTGCTGCGGCGGAGAGGCACCAGATTGAGTTCCAGGCGTCAGCATAGGCATGGGAACTTGTTGCCTTTGGCCAGAAACATCTGGTGCTCGTTGAAGATCAGTTGGCCCTCCATTATCAGCCTTCTGGGAGTCTGCCGCAATCACTTTAGTCGCAGCCGGAACAAATGCTTCTTGTCGTACAGCTACAACTCCTTGGGGTTCACTTCGTGCCTCAAGAGTCTGCGCTGGTGACTTGCTGGCGTGGCAGGAGATTTTTCCTGTCCTGGAACGGCTGGCACAAGGGATTTCGGGGAACTTCTAGGCTAAGCAAGAAATCCACGCGACGTGGCCAGAACGGTGAGATGCATGGAAACGAGAAAACCAGAAAACCAGAAAACCGAGAAAACCAGAAAACCGAGAAAACGAGAAAACCGAGAAAACGAGAAAACCGAGAAAACCGAGAAAACGAAAAAACCGAGAAAGCCAACAGTAGTGCTAGTCTCCTCGGCGTTTTCCTGTTCTCGCGGTTTCGCGTTTTCACGGTTTTCGCGTTTTCGCGGTTTTCGCGTTTTCGCGGCTTTCAATGCTCTCGCAGTTTTCGTGTTTTTTGCGTGTTTCGCGGTTTTCGTAGTTTTCGTTTTTCACGGTTTTCGCAGTTTTCGCAGTTTTGGCGGTTTTCGCGATTTTCGCGTTTTCGCGGTTTTCGCGATTCTCGCAGTTTTCGCAGTTTTCGCGATTTTCGTGTTTCGCGGTTTTCGCAGTTTTCGCAGTTTTTGTTTTTTGGCTGCTTGCGCCGTTCTTGTTGTTTTCGTATTTCTGCCTTTCATTTTTCCATGCCATATTATTTTCAAACAGAAATCTAAATAGAGAAGTGCCGGTTTCCTTGTCATAACAGTAGCCTTTGCAGACTTGCAAGCACACACACACACTTACATTACATGTCTCTTACCTTTAAACTTACAATCAACTATATATTTATATATATACACAATTATACACACATAATATGCGTACTACACTTGCATGTTCACGTGCTTGCATTTTTGTGCACACACCAACCCCTCCATCTGCTCATGCATCAACACATAGATACATAGATACAAAATGATACACGGATACAAAAGTGCATACATAGGCAGAAAGATAGATACAAGAACATATCACGAAAGGACCTGAGTTCTCCGTGCTTCAGCACAAGCATAGGGGGTATTGGGGGGCCAGCCCGGGCTAAACGTGGAATTCTCGCCGTTATGTATTGGATATCAATTATAAGGGGGGGGGGCCCCCCCTCTAAAATGGTCATGGGTTCAATTCCCACGGGTGACGCGGTCACGGGCCCCCACATTAGAGGCACACTCTCCATAAGGGAGATGTCCCTGTAGTCCAGCATAATTGGTTTGCTTCAGCCTCAATAACAGTTGCTGCAAGGGGTCTTAAAAAGGGGTTTTAAATAAACCCCTTTTCGTGCATCATTTCACGCTGCACAAGACACCGTATCATGCAGTCATGCTCTGGATAAAATCATCTTAGACTGCGCAAAAACGTTTTTGGTGTATCATCCTGGGGGCGCAGCATTTTGACACCACTCCTCTCCCACTACACTACCTTTCGTCCGCCTCCGCCTGCTCTCAAGTTTCGAACACGTCACAGGACACTCCCATGCAATACAACACAAAGCAGACAGTACAATACAACACAATACAAGACAGACAACACGCTACGCCACGTTACTTTACAACACAACACATACGGACAAACACGCAGTACATTATGTTAACTTCGTTTCCTGCCCTTACCTTAGATTACGTGCATTGCATTGCATCAAACTACATTCTACTACATTACATTGCACTACAGTACATTTCACTGCATTACAATCCATTGCGTTTCACTACGCTGCATTGCAATGATGTCATTCCAAGGGTACTAACAGGAACGCACACATATAGGTACATACATAGAAATATGGATGTATACATAAATACACTGATTCTAGCATAGACGCATATGCACACATGTATGGCAAACATCCTTACACACACACACGCCAAAGATACCGAGATTCATAGACGCATAAATGCACAACATGCTACGATGTTACGCTGCATTTCATATACGTAGATCATGTGAGAATCGTACATGCATCGGTGCATGCATGTTTTCGTTGTGTTCACCGTCCGATTCATGGCAAGGCATTGCATAATGTTCACACACAGAGACATTCATAGATACATAGAGACATACATAGATACATAGAGACATATATATATATAGATAGATAGATATACATAGAGACATACATAGAGACATACACAGAGACATACATAGAGACATACATAGAGACATACATAGTTACATAGAGACATACATAGCTGTACACATACAAAGATGCATACAAAGATGCATCCCATTTCGTTGTGCGGCATTACATTTTGTGTTACGTGACGCCACACGACACCGCAATGCTAGATTTCACATTATACACGCTCATCCATGCATCCAAACACACTCACATATACGTTGCATTACATGCATAAATGTGTATGCATGTAAAATGATGTACATTATATATATATATATGTATAATATATATAGATATGTATGTATAATATAAATATATGTAAAATAGATATATGTATAATATATAATATATATGTGTATAGTATATATATATATACCTTCAGCTTCCATATCCCAAGAAAAAGTAGGATGTCAAAAATAACCTGTAAATTGGGACGAAATGCAGGTTTTAACATATTTGGGGAATAAGTGTAAACCCTGAATGGATCAAAGATGTTAGGATGTCTTAAGAACATGTTTAAACCATTGGGTACCATCCTTCCCCAGCACGCTGCTCATGCCTGTGGCTTTTTCAAGCTCATCACCCCCTTCGAGCTGGAGATCGTTTCGCAAGCTGGACTCCCAGTCTGGACTCTGGGCACCGTGAATGTGAAATAATGTGAATATAGTGGTAATTGATCAATGGTGGCGATATTTTTTATAGTTGTGAACAATATGATACAAAAAGAATCATCAGTCCCCAATAAAAAGTCCAGCATCCCTGTATGCTGCATGTGCTGCAATAAGACTGCGCTGTATGGTACGTTGTATGGGTAACCTAGGGCTAACTCTTCGGCTCACCCTACTAGGTCTCCCTATGTAGTCCTCCTCGGGTTGCGTACTCCACGCAAGTGGGTTAGGAACAAAGTCCATTTTCCTAGCGTCCTCACCCAGATGCCAAGCAATGTGATGGAGCCGATGCAGATTTGGCTGCATCAAAAAAAGTCTTCTTGTCATATCATAAGACTGCTTGGCCCCATGGCCATAGAGCCTCAAAAAGGATAACCCATGGGAGGAAATCTCTATCGCAGCTGCAGACGGAATCCAAAGCTCATAGCTGTACAAACCCCGCAAAAATGTTTCTATGGAAACAGCACATTTGTACACAGTTGTCAGAAGCACATCTGCGCGAACTGCCCGGGTATTGGCTTCACATTCAGAAATGAACCACTTGTTCAACACACGAGCAGTATGCCCCTTTGACCAAACACCCGAAGGATAGGTTGTGGTTGTGGTCCAGCTCATGGTCTCCTTGCTAAGCTTCCGTAGGTGAGGTTTCAAGCACTTTTCATCGCACCATGTAAGAAAGCGTTCAGTCACCGCTTCCAATCTCTTTTCAACTCCCCCTACAAAAAGTGCACTGGTAGCAAGAACGATAACGGCTGTACCAAGGAACACCTTTGCACAGCCAAGATGCCAGGTATGGAAAAGATCCCATGCAAAAAGTTCGGCAGGGTCCTCTTGGACATGAGGTAGAAGCAAAAGTGAAGGTTCACTGGTGAAAGGGGATTCTGTGTTCATGGACGCCAGCCACGGTGGTACCTGACTCTGAAAATCTTCCCAGAGGACTCCAGGCCGATCGGCCAGACACCTGTGACATATTCCCTTCGGGTCTGTCTTTGTGGGCTTGGCATGCTTTGCAGCATTGAAGAAAGATCGGGCTAGGTGTCCAGATCGTTGAATAAAAGGCCAGTCCCCCATCACATTCAGCGTGCAGAAAAAATACCTTTGCCCATCTAGAGGACTTACTATCCCATGGTCAAACAAATTTCGCAGATCCGTGGCGATAGCGTTCAAAAAATTTTCATAAATGTCCGACTGGAACTCTTCATTCTCTCTTTCAGATCCTCCCCCATCATCCCCGTCCATGGAGTAAAATGCCTTTGGCAGGACTCCCAACAGGAAACGGGTAATCCAAGTAGTCTTCTTGTAGTTCAACTTGTGGAGTTCAGCCTTTCTACTCGTGGAACTAGTGCGTGTCCCATACCCCAAAATGCTGTGTGCAGCAAGTATCAACACTGCAGCTTTTCTCAAACTTCGACCCTCATCTCCATGAAGTAGAAGTGCACAGCACCTACTAAAGTCAAAGCCAGGTCGTCGATAAATTTCATGGCCTGGCCTCACTTGTCGAAATCTTTCCCAGAAAAGGGACCAAGACTGTTGACACTTTGGCATGTCAGGGCTTTCCAGTCCAGCAAGGTGGTGCCACAGGTTCCGGGACAAAAGGAAGTAGGCCCAAGAGGACATTTTGAGGTATTGAAATGTTTCCCATCCAGCTTTAAAGCTTGACATCGGAATAGGCAAAGTCAACTTGAACTTGGAAGTGAGTTTATGCACATCCCTTTCAGCATTCTTCTCCTTGATATCCGCTAAGCGCCCCAAGCTGGACCTTGCTACCTCTGGGACCTCCTGTTGAACTGCCTTTGCGGTTCGGACAGCCATAGCGCATGGCACCTCATGGTCACAGAATCAAACAAAAAATTCTAGATGGATCAATAGGATCAGGGTTTCTCCCGAGAGTTGAAATGCAACTTCAGTAGTAAATGGTGTGCTGGTGACAGTTTTATGATGTTATATATTTATATGCATTTTGAACACATGATATAGAAGCTCAGCAGTTTACTTGAGAATTTGCAGAGACACACGCACATATCAGAATTTGAGTTTCATGTTTCGGATGCTGTCGGCTAAGTCGTGAACTCCATGGCCAATCTCTTTGACGAAGCTTCGCAAGCCTGGTCCGGGACCTGGCAGCAGCAACGATGAGAACCCACACATTACCCAGTCAGCTTATAGAACTCAGGCTAGAGGGTAATAAACCGAAGCTGGTGCAAAGGACTGATTTTTCTCTTGGAAGCACAGCTCCCCCACTGGTGCTCCAAATTGTGCACTCTAGATTGACGTCTAAGTTGTCACCATTATGGCGAACGATGAAATGCCACTGCATCTCCATCACTGTTTTGCTTGCACCCTGGTGTTACTTGACATTGGGCCATGTTGAAATTTAACTGAGGTGACTGGCAACATGTGCAGCCTGGATCAGTGTGGAGCTTGGCTCGACTAGGCGCGGTGAAAACCACCTCAACTGCCTGATCACTTCACCAGGGGTTCCATAGATTGAGACAATAGGGCCTAACATAAGTGACCTCTAAAACAATAATAAGACATCAATGAAGCATGAAACATTCTGTTGAAAAGACTTGGGCTGACCCCGCAGTAGAAGCTTGCAAAGGCAGTATCTTACATCACAAGCAAACTGCTCTACTTTTTGGTTTTGGTTTTACGAACCCTTCTACGCTCAGTTTCGGGGGCATTATTCTCATGTTGCTCTCTCTTCTTCTTCTTCGTGATCCGGCCAGGCTCTTCATTTTTTTCGGTGTCCTTTTTGTCAAAGAACTGCTTGGATTTCCTGATTGGTCGAATCATGGTTTCAAGATGTCTTAAGGATTTTTAGGATGCCTGAAGGAAACTGCACGCATGCCACCTGTCCCGATTGTGTGTAGCAGCATCTGAGGTGCTTGCTTCACTTTCTGCTCTGCAGCTGTGGCGCGGCTCGACCTCAAGTTGTCAAAGACTGGGATAACGGGACAGGTTGGGAATGATATTTCTGTTTTATAAGGTACTCTTAGGACAATATAAATGTAATGGGGTGTCACATAGTCAACTTCAGCCACAAAGATATCTATGACACTGCCTGCAAGTCCGACCTCTGAGTTTCAAACACGAATGTGGCATCGTTCATCTTTTTGTGGGCAACCTTCCACCACCTCATAACAAAATGACATGGCTTGGAATGGAGCTAGAACTAGGATGAAATCGCATGAGCATCATATGGGATAGATGTTGTGGTGTGAGTCTGAGACATAGGCTCAGGGCCAAATTTCGCATTCTCACCTTTGGCCATCTCTTCATTCAAGATGTCATACTCCCGGTCCAACTTCGCAATGTGGTCCTGGACGGTCTTCATTGACCTGGGCAATGCAGCTCCGTTGACGCTGTCTAGGATGAGGGTTCCACCATTACCAGATTGGTTTCCAAAATCTCATTCGTTTTCAGTGTTAGATTATTCAACAATAATGCATAATAAATCATAATAAGGTTTTGACTCCGAGGTAGATTCCGGTGTGTAGTGGTCCTTCATCTCCCTACGAAGAGTTTTCAACTTCGTGCTCAAACGAAGGAGAGAGTCGAGGTAGCGCTTCAAATGCAGCTTGTTCTGGAGGCAAGCGACATGGGAGGGAGAACAGGTTGATTGATTGTTGGTTTGGTGAATGGAATGATCGATAATGATAGATACATCAAAAATGACTGGCAAACCCCAGTCCTGTTCTGCGTTCTGTTGGTCAGGACTCACATCAGCATTGGGAGCACCAGGTTTGCTACCATCAGACATGGGTGCATCACCGGTGGGCATGGCGGCTTTGATGCGGTCAAAGCATCCATCTTCAAATTTCACGGCTTCATCAGCCTGAAGATAAAAAATCCAAAAACACTTCAAGTCCAATGAATTGAAAACAGTTGACAACTACTTTGGACACCAATAAAGCTTCAGAAAGACAAGCCTTGGTGGTTGATTTGTGCATTTGAGCCATCTCATGTTCTTCTTCATAACTTCCAGTCTCACGAATTGTCACCCAGTACTCCACGGCGTTGTCGTACAGGTTCTTCCTGCGGCCAAAGCAGGCGGAAGATATGGGTTTTGTATTCAATCTTAGAAGTGGGATTCAACACCAAACAAGAACCATAATTGATGGATTTCATTTATGATTGTACCCAGGGTGCCTCACGCAAGTGGCAGATCGGCTCGGGTCAAGGCAGTAGTTCTTGGCGGCAGTGATGCGGTTCCTAGGCAATAGGCCAATAGGCAAGTATTTACCAGTTGGTTGGTTTGATGACTTGAACCCACAAAGATTGTCTCAAGTTTTGATCAGCTAAGAATCGAAGACCATTTGAGATCTTGTTTCATTTCAGCCTCTGAATACCAGCCCTGATCCTTCTTGATACTCACCTTCTTTCGTGAAGTAATGATTCTCTGCATCTCATCCACAAACTTCGCCTGGAAGGACAAAGAATTTGAGGTGTTAGGTATATTGTTCTTGGCTAGATTCACATGATAAAAAAGAATCAGTTTGCAGAAAATGGGAGTTCAAACTACATCCAGACTTTGAACCCAGTGCCTTATCCCAGTTGACTTCCTGTAATGTTGCTGCCATTTGCTCCTTCTCACGGGTACCCTTATTCCACTCCGCGGCCACCCACTGCGGTACTGCCAGGTCAGTGCGCTTGCTTTTCGGCGTCACCATCCTGCGGATCCTGGCTTTCGCAGCGTTCCTCAAAAGTTCCTGGGCCACAAGTTTGTGGTGTCTTGGGATGTGATGGGATGTGTGGTTTCACTTGCATATCAATCACGGGCCAATGATTGGAATGCATTCCAAGTATTTTTTTTCTACCCAAACTGTGAACCCAAAAGTATATAGCATGTCCATTCGCATGAATATCAATCAAAGAGTCCCGACGGGTCAGAACACGCTTCTTCTTAGATACCTTGCCATCAGATGATCCACGAGCAGGAGCATCCTCCTGAGATTCATGATTCTCCTCCTCCTCCTTGTCACTGGTAGGTTCCTGCTTGACTTCTGGTCCAAATGCTAAGGCAAGTTGTACTGAAAGGTCGTTGACCGATACCTTAGATACACGATCACCAGCAAGTAACAATCATGGTACAATACCCATAGTAATTGTGATTTGGGATCGGTGTTTTCATTTATCCATAGTCCATAGTGCCTAACAAGTACCTCATTGTCACCATCTCCACCATCCTCTGGGCTATCACCACTGACATCCATGTACTCATCCTTCAAGGCAAGCTCATCCGGTTGACCAGCCTTCAAGCGGCATTTCTGGGCCAGTTTATGGACTACATAAAATGATTTGTAGGTTTTCAGCACGCAAAATGTAAGGTTTATGATTGAAATGCATGTTGAAAGATTCCCAAAATCAAAGACTAGTCAAAGATGCAAGCAAAGAAGAAGGTACTCAGATTTCGTAATCTGTCAGTTCACCCAACCCTGGAAACCACCTCTGTACTGTCAGCATCCGAACTGGCCGTGGCTGTGCTCGAAGGTGCTTCAGTTGGAGCATCTTCACTGTCAGGCACCTGCAGCCAGGGGTGGTGGGCCATGGGTGTGCAGCCAGGAGTTCTGACACAGTGAAACAAACATAAACAAACGACAGGGAACATCTGGGCTCATGCAAACAGTAATTAACTTATAAATGAAGGGGCCTCTGGAACGGTATCGCCCACAGGGGTCTCAACATTGTCAACGTCACCGGATTCCAGCTGATCCACTTCTAGCTGAAGATCCTGGCAAGATTTTTGACTACTGGTCTCGGCTTATTTGATTTTTTGATCATTGTTGGAGAAACAAGATATGGTCCTTGATTTTCTGAAGTAGTTCTGCTTCCGCATCAGCCGTGGCATCGTTCATAACATGATCATACCCATCCCCCAGGGTTCCACATGACCACCTTTTGGACGACATCTGGTGTCTGGAACAATCCAGCTATAGTCCCTATGAAACTTCAGCAGCCTTTCTATAAATGGGCAGCGAGGGGCATTTGTTCAACTAGCTATGTGCAAGTAACAGCTTTGTCAGCTGCATGTCTGACAAGTATGGCCAGCAGTCCAAACAAGCACTTATCTCAAAATCAACCAGCGGGACAGGGCTTGCATTTTGAAACCCCAAAGCCAAGCTGACTACTCGGAGCCGTAGGTCACACCACAGCAAATGATTTTTTTGGGAATTGCTCGAGAAAAGCGACATATTGTCAGCTTCGAGCCATTTCGAGCCGCATGAAATCCTGCTATGAATATCCCACTTTTTGATTACGCGGTTTTACGGGATGTTTATGGAAATTCATGGGATGTTTACGGGTTGATTACGGGTTGCCAAAAACCAGGTTTTGCTATATTTACGGGATTTTTACGGAGTTTTGTCGATAAGAATATGGGATGTGTCGATAAGAATATGGGTTTGGATGGGAAGAATTTGGGATATCCTTCATTTGGAGCATAGAAAAGTCATCAGAAACAGTTCAAATCTGAAAAGTAACCATTTAGTTTCTTGAGGAAATATATAGGTTCGAATATGTTCGACACTCGAAAACGTAGGATTCGTCGATCATTGGTCAATTTACTGATGTTTCCAGATAAACTCCTCAAAGCAGGAAATCTACACCCCTGTAGTTTCAGGGTTTGGGAATTATGGCTTTCCAATGGTCTGGGAGATTTAGTCCTCTCCCATACCTCAAACATTTGACCACCTCCATCAGATTGGCCGTTGAAAACAGGCCCTGGTCAAGCAGAGCGGCATGGACAGTTTCAACACCTGGAGGCACTGGCGAAGGGTAGGAATGATGAATCCGGGAAGCAACCAAGTCTTCACGAAGACGGACGATAGCATCCCCAAACTTGGCTGGGTAATTCCTTAGATAGAGGCAACCCTCCAACATAGTGAATTGAATGGGGACAAATCATCCTTCAGCATTCTCCATACGAAGTGAAATACATTAGTCCAAGGTTCTCAGTGAAACGTAAGGCCTTTGTCCCATGATAGCGACGAACACCCTTTTTGTCTGTGTAGTGACGGACTGTTTGGTATTCTGGCTTCATGCGTTTCCACCCAACATCTAGGCGCATGATCGCCCTGCCATTTGACCATGCCCACTGGCGTTTTGGAGACCCCGCCCCATACATACACATCCACCATCCAACTTTTCTCACCTCAGCTGACAAGTAGGTATTAAGTTTAATAGTGCATCTGAATGTTTTACATAACACCAAATTCAGACTGGTACAGTTGCAATAAAAAAAAGTATTTAATCTCAAAACATGTGGCTGCTGCAGCCCCATAGAATTCCTGGAGACAACTGAGAAAGTGGAGCCACGTAGGGTAGAATTCAAGTACAGAGGAGCCTGGCTGCTCCAAGCACCATGTCCCGTGACAAGCCGTCACAAGCGCACATAGGCAAATGGTCCTCAAGGGAATGCAGAGGCCGGGTTCTGAGTATCATGAGTGGGACAGTGGGTCAACTCCAAGCCACCTGATCTGTTTTAGAAAGAATTTGAAATGTCATTTCGCGTGATATGAGTTATCTATAATAAACTAGTTTGTGGCATCATCTTCCAACCCTTTCCTTTCCAGCATGGAATTGCCTTGCATCACAGCTCGCTTGCTAGTATCTCCGATGCTTGTGCATATTGACCTCAAACTCGTTCCTGAATTTATACTTACCCATGTGCAGCACTTGATGCCGAACCATGCGATGAAATCCCAGGGTTTGCCTTTCAGCACAAACACCACGGCCAACCTGGCAGAAGGAGAGGGCACGGATGGGCACCGTGGAAATTGGGAGAAGGGCCAGAGTGAAATTGTCACATTGCATCTGCAAAATAAAAGCTTCAGCTATCTTCAGCATATCTTGTATATGATTTGATTTTAATCATTTTTCATCCAAGGAACGCAAAACCACTTGGAGTCAAAAGGTCATAGAAATTTCTGGGTCTCTTGAGTTGGCTCTTGGGATCCCAGTACATCAAGTCAAAACGGGCCGAAGTATAACCAGCAGATCTCATAGCATAGGTGCATGCTGCTTTGCCAGCATAGTATTCCAGCCATTGGAATTCCTGCGGGCCGCTGGGGTATGGTTTACACTGGTGCTATTGCATGTTTTATTCAGCAGTGTTTACATAGGCAGCTCTAAAGGGTTGGGTCTACCTGAATCTACCCTGCCTCATCCAAGTTGAATAGGCCCTCGGTGTAGTAAACCAGGACCACCACCCATAGAAATTCCTTAGAACCACAAGGCGCCTCTATGATGCCATTATGTGCCAGTAATGAAGTGGTCAAGCCATTATCCAGCTGAAATGGTTACAACATAGTGCAGTTGGGGTTCTCTGCGCACACCAAGCTTTTGCAGGGCCCATAGCGTGCAATCCAAATGTGTATTCATGAGTATCCAGGTGTGCACGTACCAAGTTTCTATCTGGATTGAGCCAACTTCAACAAGTATTGAAGGCATAGGCAATCATCGAACAGTTGCGGATGCATGTCATTTTTTAAGTTGAAATTGCTTGTCAGCCGGAAAGCGTGGCAGGCTGACGGCTGCTCTTTGAAATGCGCCTCTTCACGCGGCGAGCCCTGGAAACATGAGGACGACCTGGGCGATGGGCAATGCTGGGTAAGGATGTGAGCAATTCTAATCATATTGAAGGAGAATAAGAAGGGTGTAAAATAAGGGAGAGCACAAAATAAAAGGTGCGATCGAGAGTGCAAGGGTCACATATGGCACATCATTTCATTTTTGCACAATTGCGGCCCGGCTGTCAAGCTTATGGCCTGATCGCCTAGTGGTGCTACAGACGCAGGGAGATCAAGCATACTAGATGCTTTTCCCCAAGTATCCCCCACAGCCAGGTGTCAAGACTCCGAAAGATACATAGCATGAATAATCATGAATATGAAAAGAACTAGATAGCATGAGTTTTTTTGTCCTGGTGTTTGGTTTGCATGGCACACTGGCTGTATTCACTTGAGGTTTCAAAGCGAGGTTCAACGCTGAACTCCAACTGATACCATCCTAATGAAGCACTTTGTCCATCCTAGAAAGAAAGTGAACCTAGATTCACCACGAGTTCCCGTGATTGAAAGCAAAACGGGGTCAATCCACATCATTCTGATCTTGATCCATCCTCAAGAGAGCTTCACGACCATACTCTCTGATCTCATCCATCATGGGATCAACATCTTCCGGGTTCAAGTTCGGCAGACGGCTGGTCATCATCGTAGCCTCAAAGCTTAGGGAGGATTCCAGATGTAAATTTTGGGATATGGGGGGAACAACCTATTTTCAAAACACAAAATAAAAACATTGCTCAGTTTTCTTATGTTTGTTGAGAAACAAGCTCAATTGTCGCAGCAACTGCCACGGCACACTTCAGTCGGGGTTCACCGGGGCACCCACGATTGAAACTGAAGGTTCCCACATCACGATAGCTGCGGCCAGTCTGCCACCGAAGTCCACAGGAAAACCTGGTCCAGTAGACATTGAGGCACCCCTTTCCCAAGTCAGGGGTGGCTGTGCGCACGTTCTCCTTGTAATCCTCCAAGTCAAGTCCCATGTCAATCTTCTTTGTGAATGCAATCATTCGGTCGATGACGGGCGAGTTCAGTGCATTTCGGGGCGTGGCTGCACGCTTGGGGGCTGCTGCACGCTTGGTGGCTGCTGTGCGCTTGGGGGCTGCTGCAGACTTGGGAGATGGCAAGCTCTTTGCTTTGGGTGCTGGCATGGTCTTGGGTGCTCGGGGACGCTTTGCTGCAGGCTTTGGCACTGGGGTGGCAGCAACATCATGGGGCTCAGAATTGGTCTTTCGCTTCTTGGTCTTGGAAATCGCAGGCTCAGGGGGTGTGTCAGGAGACTTGGACACCTTCGCCTTTGCTTTGCTCTTTGCTGCTGTTGGCTTTCTGGGGCGCTTGGGGGCTTTCTGGGAAGGGAGGGATTCATCCATATCATCACCATACCATCCCCACTCATCACCCCATTCTTCCCACTCATCCCACTCATCCCATGCTTCCCATGCTTCCCATGCATCTTCCTCGGGTTCATCCTCTACATCATGTTTTTTGCCACTGCTGTTCTTCCCAGACTTGGTTTTGGAAGGCTTAGCCTTAGCCTTAGACTTGGGTGACTTCCCCTTCCCACGGCCACGGCCACATCCCTTGCCACGATTGCTGGGCGGGGGTCGCTTGATCGCAAGCTGGTCTCGGCGGGTCACAACCTGAGCAGGGGCAAGTGAGATGAACCGCAAGCAAGTAGGAACAGGTCACTCTAGGCTCTGGTAAGTTTTATATGAGAAAAATCCTGTAAAATATATAGATCATTAATTATTAATTAGAACATGTATATATCCCATGAGCCCATGACTTCTTTGCAACGCAGGACCTCGGGAAGATCAGAAGCGCCTGTAGCCTCATCTTGAACAGGCATGGCAAGGGGAAGGGTTTCCTGACTGGCACCACTCAAGAAGCTAGATGGTTTTTTTCTGCGAAAACGACGGAGCGGTTGATTTGTTTCCGGATCAACAACTTGATCATGAGCGGGAACACCATCAGGGGTTTCATCAGGAGTAGAGCTCTTGGATTTTTCCCCGGAGCAACTTGATGTCGGGGCCCGTGTTGACTCACTGGACGACCCTGGGCTTCCCTCTGGGATCTTCTGACTTTGCAAAGGCTTTCCATCCATGACAACAGAAGGTAGGTTCTGATACTGTTGCCTTTTTTTGGTCACATCGTGGCTTGAAACAGGTCGTTTTGGAGTAGGATCAGGTGTAGGCATGTCCATGATATCGTCCATGGGCTGCGTGTCAACATTGTCAACCGCAGAGGCTGATGAAGACTTTGGTTTGACATGTCCTGCAACCACAAAAATTCGAATAAAATTATATATGTTATTTCTATTTATTTCTATGATGTGTATAATTGAA